TCAAACAATGAACTCACTTCTTGAGAAGTTGATTTACGTGCCATCATATAATTGGAAATTTTGTTTAGAAAGCGAAATTATCGATTGGAATACGGCCGAACGCTGAATACGAATTGAGTGAGCAAACAGATACTTTGATATCTCGGACGATAACCAATTTCCTGCCTTTGCGAGTTTGGACCATTTAATTGTCTGAGAGTTAATCGACCGTAACCTTTAGCTTTCCTCTCCGTTTCCGGTGTTTTCACATCGTCCTTTTGACAGGTTTCGTGGAGGTGTCACCATGTTGTAGTTGTGATCGGCCATCCATCAAAAGGGGGCATCTGTAATATAGGTTCGCAACGAAAAAAAAATGCAAATATCTTAACGCAAATACGAAGTCAGAACCAAAAACGAAGTACATGTTCGTTTCTACTCTGTTTTGCGGGTCTAAAATGCTACATAGGGCCTTCATCACGAAGACAACCTCAGGAGAGCTCGGATTTTGTAATCGGAAATCTGCCGGAGATGACCTCCTTCTGACGGATTTCGGAGTGCGCTTTCCCATTTATTGATCCTCCACGTTTTTCACCAGTTCCAAACCTTTCACGGTCGTTTTCACTGCCAGACCCATCTCGTATTTTTGCGTCAGTCAAAATTAAATGGCGTGCGCTCAGGTGTATGAGTGTTCAGTGGGCCGTTTTCTAGTTTCGGATTTACAAAATTTACTTCACCATGATTGCGGCTCATGTTTGAATGGTAAGTAGAATTTGTAGCGTACAGTTTTTTCTACAGAATTTGTATCTGGAGCTCTTTGAGAGCAAGTCATCCTCGGAGACCTAGGGGCTGTGAGTCGATTTCAAGTTAGGGCGAAAGAGTCCCTGGGGAATTTTGTCTTACAAGACTAGTTCCAAACGGTCGGGTAGTCTCTCATATACCGGGTTCTGAAATAACTAATAATTAACAGATAAATGTAGCAGAAGGGTAAAGTGAGTGGGTTACAGAGGATCAGTGAACAATGAAATATATGAAGTTCATATATTTTGTACTGCGGTATTAGATACATATGATGCACGATCCTCGCAGTAGATAGCGCTATTTAAGCAATAGCGAAAATCAGACCTGAAAAAAAATCAGGCCTGTACGGGATTCGAACCACTGACCTCTGCGATACTAGTGCAGCGCTCTACCAATTGAGCTAACAAGCCAACTGGGAGCAGGCCGTTAAGTTGATTCGTAATAAACCCGTGAAAGTGATAAAT